ATCATTGATAGGATGGATGTAAAGATTGATTATGTTCCCACTGATGACAACCTAGCCGATTCTCTTAAGAAGGCTGTTTCTCAGAGAAAACATGATAGTCATTATGAGGCTTTGCGTATACGACTTAGGTCAGATTGGCTCTAGGCCAAGTGGGAGCTTGTTAGTATATGGATGTCCTAGAGACAATCTTTTGATTAGATTAGGACATATATGGACCTTTTATTTTTTTCACAAATAAATATAAGCACTCTTTATCCTGTTTCATATTTTGTCTCGATATTATTAATATTATATGAGTAACTGGATAAACCCATTGGAATAGAATAGGTATCTCTTGAGTATCTGTGATGAGATCACGATCATGAGGATTCAAGGATACCAGATGTTTATTCTTAATTTTATGTTCTTAGTCTAGAGACACTGAGAATGTGGATCAGTAATCTCGGGTAAGACTAGCACGACTTATCTACTTGTATTTGGATACAAGGTAAAGACCTCATGAGCTACAGATGTGGAGATGTCTTAGCTAAAGTCGTGGGTGGACCTATAAGGGTATAGCTCGCACTGAACAGACCCACAAAGAGACTCTATGAGGAAATCTCACAAATAGTATCATTAGAGCAGTCTCTTAATATTTGGGTATGTCTTTCCTTAGACCATAAGTTGTCACCTAGAATGTGTTCTAGAAGGCTTGTTTTGATTGTATACCTCGTCTGCCTGAAACATGGAGACTCATAGGTATACTTTTGGGCATGTCCTGAAAGAGCACAGGCTTAGGGTGATAAGCTGAAGGAATTCGTCAAATCTCTGTGAGGGATTAGGTTATCTGTAAACCGGAGAAAATAGGGATGACATTTACAGGACTCGAAAATCTATGCATAGTAAAGGAGATCATGAGATGATCTGCCTTTAGAGTCAGTAAATTGAAGATTCCCTATTTCGAATTAAAGCTTACCCTAAACCGCAAAGGTTGATACATTTCCTCACCCTACGTTTAAAAGGAAGGTAACCGAGACGAAAGGAAATACATACGGTAACCAAATATATGTAATAGGATGATCATGTCATTAACCTAACTATCTCTGGGGCAACAAAGCATTGTTAGTGCTCTGTGTTGTCATTAAATGGGTTGTGGGCTTGTTGGGCCCAAGTCCATTTATGTCAGTGGCTATGTTGGGCCTAATGGGTCACACACTAACACCTTATTGTCTTGATGATATAGCATTAAAGGTATTGGGCCTAATAAAGGTTGTTAGCCCAAGAAGAAGTTTGGAAGCCTACCTAAGAGGGAAAGGGCGCATGGTAATTGTAATGGGCTTGGATGGTCCAAGACATTATTAATTAATTTAATTAGTTAAATTAATTATCAAATATTTAAATTTATAATTTAAATTTTGAATTTGAATTTTGAATTTAAATGTTTGAATTTAAATGTTTGAATTCGAATTTGAATTGACTATTAAAAGTTGTTTCATAACAAAAGGATAAGATAAGATCTTGTTGGAACAAATCCCTAGTATCAAGAGGAGATATTTGAGCATCATCCAAGTTTATTTGGGACGCTGATTTGGGTTGTCATGAGTGTCATTTAGTCAACCAAATAAGCTCCAAATCAGATTTGGTTGGTTGAGAGAATAAGTGAGTAAGTTAGTTCAAATTTGAATGCAACTACTCAATGTATTTGGACTGCATTGTGGACCAAAGGGGCGCACCATATGGCTGGCCATATGATAGTCATTAGGTCAGAATTTTGACAAGGTTTAGACCTAGTCTCATGAGGATTAAAAGATAGGTTGTTGGGAAAATTTGAATTGCAACAACTCCACCTTTTTCTCCCTTGGTGTGCGCCACTTTGATTAGATTTTTAAGTGAAAAATCTGACTTGAATGCTTAGACTCTCTCATCTCCTTTGGTCATCATTTTGTTAGGCTTTTCTTAAGAGAGTTTTGAAGAATATCCTAGCCACTTCTCATCAATTCCGTGTGCCACTTTTGTGAAGTTTTAAGCTGAAAATTTCACTCATCTAAACACATTAACCTTGCCTCCTCCTTCATCTATTGAACGCCTAGCCAGCCTTCTTTGTGGTGTTTAATTGGTGGCTTTTCAAGAAGGGTTCTTGCATCTTGACGTAGGATGGTGTGGATCAATATCAGAGGGTTTGAACCCTTTCAAACCTTACATTGATCACCTTGGAGTTTTAATCACGAACAAGGTATATCATTACGTCCTAAAGTACATATCTTGATTGGCATGTGTGTTTCCGCTTTTGAAAAATTTTGTTTTCCTCCTCACATGCCTACGGCCTTTAAGGCCATTTTCTTTCAAGTCACACTCAAATCGGTGCCCTCATGGGACTTCCAAGAGTCAACACTCTTAGGATCCAATTCCCAAAGGAAAGCCCGTGACATAGATTATTGGCCAAAGAACTAGTAGGCATATCAGCCTCCTAGCACCTCGTACATAAGGACCACTAATGTATCACACATCAACTGAGTATCCAAACAAACTCCTTAGAGGCAACCTCTTCAGACCTAGTTCCTCAGATTATATTATCAAACACTTCATTACAACATTCATTATATAAAACATAATTCATACTACATATTATGCGATCACAACAATCCAACACACAATTTCTCAACAGCCTGTCCGTAACAAAATAATCTTAAGGTTGACCATGAATAGACAAATGATATCTGCTAAGCAGTCTCGACCATCCAACTGAAATACCACATCCCGATAAATAGATGAAGCGTCGCATTTCTCCCCCGTAGTGGTAGTAACCATCAGAGATGGAGAAAGCTCAAATATGGGCAAGTTTAGTCCCACAATAATCGGACTCCCAATACATGAATGCGCAGCCTCAGAGTCAAACAACTCATCAATGCCACATCCACCAATGTAAACTACAGCTCTCACGAGGTTTGGAGCTCTATCGGACCGCTAACGGTCCCAAGTGTAAACTCGACCGATCACTGGTGGTGCAGGAACCATCTGAAGTGGAACGACTTGGATGACTGTGGCTCTAGCAATAGGTGGGCGACAGTCTTTGGAATAGTGGTCCTCCTTACCACACTTAAAGCAAATAATCTGGCTGGTGGAACAAGGTCCAACGTGTAATTTCCACAACCGGTGCATCTAGGAATGATGGGTGGCCTCATCGAGCTCCCCTGCTAAGCGAAAGTTCTCTTTAACTTGTCGAGCTATTGTATGACATGTAGTTGCTTCCCTTTACCTTTCCCATCATACCTCTTTTCCCTTCCTTGAGAGGAACAACTAACTCCTTTTGCCTCAGACTCTTTAATTCTCTTTGCCTTGTTGATTACATAGACATCCTCTATGTCACGATACTACTGGATCAAAGTGCCAAAGTCTCTGGATGCAGCTCCAGCAATCCTCTCAGCTATCTCCTAATGTAGGCCTCTGCAGAACTTAGAAGCTAGGAACTTATGTGTAGGCATTGCTAATCTAAAAGTAGCAAATTTGGCTAACTCATTGAATCTAGCCAGGTACTTATCCACAATCAAAGACCCTTGCACTAGGTGCTCAAACTCTCCCTGCTTATGCTCTCTCACATTATACGGAAAATATTCCCCAAGAACAGCTCCTCAAATAATGGCTAAAGTCATAATCTAGCCCTGCATCTCATAACCGTGAGAGGTGTTAGTCCATCACTCATGTGCATCACCTTCAAGCATGTAGGTGGCAAACAACAACTTCTGCGGATCTATACACTCCATTACTCGAAAAATATTATCAAGTGCTTGAAGCCATATAGCTACAACGATAAGATCATAGACTTCATCGAATCAAGGCTGATTATGCTTACGAAAAGCATTCAGCCTATGTTCTCTTGTCTCCTGTTCCTCAATCGGCTCGTAGTATGGCTAGATCATATTGAATGGGTGACTCATGCTCTCAACAGTTCTCTGTCTGATGTCCTCCTGAACATATGTCCCTTATTTCCATTCCATTCCCGGTGATGGAATGGAGGCGGTGGTAGTGGTCGTGGCAGTGGCGAATGCTGACCATCATTACGACCGGTCCTCATCTCCTCCAACATAACTCGTATCCTGGTTATATTCGCCAGTCAGTTTTCCTGGTTATATTCGCCAGTCAGTTTGCCTCTAATACGTCCTCAGTGACCTTCCGATTTGTGTCTCGCATGGTGTCCATCATAGCCTGATTAGCCTCTCTAATCGCATCTAACTCAGCTTGCATAGTGTAACATTCCGTGTATACCCGGTAATGTTATCATACTATCGTATTAAGCTGCGCTTAATTAAAAATTGCGGAATATCTTTTTCTTTTCCAATTATGACGTCATTATCAATTACCAACTTGATTACTTAATCAATTTCATAAAATATCGTCTGTATGTAAATTACAATAAGACATTGTAACACCCTCCCTTGTATGCATCCAAGAGAGTTGTTTGCTAAGCGGATTAGAGTTTTTTTATCATATTTTAGAGACTGAAAATCACTTTTACAATGCCAATTAAAAACTTATAATTGAAATCGGGTTCGTCACAAAAATCAGAGTATACTTTCAAAATTTCTCAACTACTGAAAATATAACTTTCCTGGCAGACCTTGCTATCTTTAAAAATTCGTATAAAATTCACTTTAGCGATTCAAAAAAATATTCTTAGTAATCTAGACACTAGACATCCGGGGCTTCGCGTTCATATAAAATAATAGTAATTTGAAGTTTGTTTGCCCCTCGAAACATAACTCGCAAAATAAGAGATAAAGCAGTGACAATATCACAAACGTCCTGGCTGGTAAAATTCATAATAAATCGAGCTTTCAGAATTTATTTGCAAGGTTTATATATAATGAAACTAGACACCTGGGGCTACGCGTGCATATAAATTATAAGAAAATCGGAGGTACGTAGCCCCAGTACGACAACTTACAATGTGCTCGCAAAAACTTTTCAAAACTCAGCATTTAGATAACATGTCAAAATCTTTTTCGCAAACGTTTCAACATCTGTTTCCAAAATACTTGCTGGTCATAAAATTGTAATGCAATAATAAAATCATAGTTCACAGTAATAAAAGCTTCTCCATTTCATACAGTCATCCATAAAATATCACATCAATAACAGCATGCCCAAAACAGTAGAAGCCAACAGCAAATATCCAAGTTCTCAAAAGCTTTTACGTCCTCCTGCCATTTTGTAAAAATAGCAGCCCCAAAGGGGTGAGAAAAATCCCAGTAGTGTGGCAACAAAACCAATAATGCAACAGTATTAAACTAGACACAAAATATAAACAGTCGCTTCAAACATGAAATCCTTTTCATCATATAACCTTTTCATCATATATCATATTGCGTATATAACGCCTTCATCACGCTCATAGCACCGTCGTGCGCGTGCATACACAGTGGGAATTCCATGCAACGACACCCTCATTTATTGAATCCTACTATGACCTATGCGGACGGATGCCAAGTGTCTCATACCCTGGTACCGAGGGATGCCTATATGATGCGTGCTCAATCACATGATCTTGTAGATAACTATTCTAGACTTCAAAGCTTACATGACTTAGGTGTATAAATGCAATGAAATGCGTTCACACACCAAACAGAAAAATGCATCATGATGTAAAAATGCATGCACATATCATTATCATCATTTCATATTCTTACCATTGCCATATCATCATCATAAAATAACATTAAACATATGTGAACAACACATCACAATTTCATACACTAGCTAATAGTCACATTAGGTAATACCGCCTAACACATACCTCGAGTCTTTAACATTTTATTTTATCAAAGCATCACCAATCAGCCCACACTTTTAGAAGTTAGCACACCTAAACATTGGGTACCAACAATCAGAATTCACATCTACTATTCTAATAAAATGCATGTACTTTCCGGGCTTTCAATACAAGACTTCTAACCAATTTACCATGCATTCCTGTTATTTAATTTTCTGTTTTAACTTTAGTTTTGCCAAAGATTAACAATTAACATTAATATAAATCCCTAAGCATTTAATTCGGTTGTCTTTACCATTAATTAGGTGTCTTTGGTTTTCCATTCACATAACATCTCTACATAAATTAGGAAGGGTAATACAAGAGCTGTCCAAATAGTTCTAACACATGCAAAGCTTGATTCAACCGGATTTCATGACTTTTATGCTAATTTAATTTTTCTAACATGGGGATTGTTCCACCAATAGACAGCGAGGAGAATAATCAAAATCCACAATTCCTAATATACACAAATTCGGTTTTATTCATTACTAGGTGCTTCTGAATTTATCGATTAACAAAATATACTATCAATTGCTAGCTAGTGACAACAAAATTCCAGGGTTCCTTATACATTCATATTCGGTTTGTACAGTCATCACCTAGGGGCCTTAAACTTTTTAATTTCATAACATTTCTATATTATATGACAAGGTCACTTAATCTCCTAGCATGTTGCCCCCTACGATTTCCCCATACAAGGCTGCCTATTTAGTTTTATTTATTTTTCCGACTAATAACATAACTTAGCATAGTGCCAACCACCTTAAACTACATGAGAATCCAATGTAACGTATCCTATTAGACTACATCCTTCTCATCATTAATTATACCTATTCCTTAATCAATTTTATTAATTACAAGATAATGATTCAACATTAACATAAATGTTCAATTGACATCAACTCATGTCGTATCTCCCTATATGGCCGAAAGTGACACTCACCATTGTCATAGCTTCTCATTCATTCTCCTAATAACTTCGTATTCATATCATTTTATAACTTAAACAGAAACCACATTTAAATCAATGCAGGTTACACATTTATATGATTAAATAGTTACTTTCCTCAATTTAAAACTCCATTTCATGAGTATATAAAAAAAACCGAGAAGGAACAATTAAGGACTTGACATGTGACTTACTTTTATTTGTAGGCATTTGATTTTAAGGGAGTCCAAGGGCAGAACAGAGAACAAAAAGACACAATATAACTCTCTTAAATTTACCAGTAGCAGCCAATTAAACACTCACGAGAAAAGCAGAAAAATGTATCTTCTTATAATACATCTACAGCCAAACATTTAGGATTAGAGGAGGCTTAAAGTTTGGTTTGTACCTTCTTCCATGCGACCATGTTTTTCTTAAAATAGATACAGAAAACAGTCACCCAAACTTGGAGCATCATCACCGCCTCCTACCATACAAAAGGGTTAAAACAGAGTTACGACAAAGAACAGTTCCCTCACACAGCTCATGCGCTGAAACCAAAGACAGAGAGAGTAGGAGGAAGCTCACTTATTCTTGTAGTTGAAAGAAATTGGGTCACAACTTCAAAGATACTAGTCTTTCTTGTCATGAGTTGGGTTGTCGCTGCATGCAACGGAGTTCCTTATAAAAACCAAAGGAGTAATGGCCGAACAAGAAAATGTGGAAGATGAACTCTATGATGTGCTCTCCCTGGGCTGCTGCCATTTGACCGAATCATGCAGGGGAGAAAAATGGAAACCTGGATGGTCGTTGCCTTATGTAGCTCACGGTTTAATGAGGAATAGAGAGGGGGAAATTAACATGAAATCTTCAGGTTCTTCTCTAACTGGTCTACGGTCTTGTGAGAGGGAGAGAGAGTGTGTGAGGTATTTTTTTTTTTTTGTCTCATTCTGAATTGGAACTGACCCGAATTCTTATCGTGTATCTCCTAGGGTGTACTCAAGGATGATGGTGAATCAGCTTTGATTTTTCTTTGTATTTTTCCACAAAGAACTTGCGGCCAAAAGAGGGAATCAAGGAAAGGATATTGCTGGACAAAATCTGAATCCAAGTGCTAACAATTCCAATTAGTTTTCTTACTCTATGCGCACAAGAAAGGAATGAGATAGGTGAGGGCTGCCCTTGGCCAATAGAAATTCATGCAAAGGGAGTTCTCTCTTCTAATTGGTGCAAAAGGGTGGTGGATTAAAGATAGATAAGAATTGCCATGTGGCCACCTTTTGACCAATCCATGGCAAGTATATAGATTTTGTGAGGGATTAATTAAGTTCACTTGTTCCATGATATGTGTACATATTATTTATTAATTCAAGAAAGGTTCACTTATTACATAGAATATATATACATATTAATTATTAACATACGTATAAAAGTATGTAATTTCGTATATCCACAAGCTAATAATTAAAGTTCCTTCCTATATGGTGATTAAATGTAATTCGGTCCCTTTTTAACTAGTGTCTTGAATCCTTTTAAAAATAAAAAATTGTTCACTAATAATTTCCATTAGAATAACTTTTTTCCTAATTAAATTAATTCCACTCTTAAATAGATTTAATTCGAATTTCAAGCATGCTTCACACTCTAAATTATAATTTATAGAAGTTCCTAATTATGCGGGATGTTACAGACATCTACTGAAATACCTCAATATATAAATAAAGTGAGTATCTAAAGTCACGTCATTACATCACGTAATTCGGATAATATCCTGATACATTAATACAAATCTAACTAAAACAAGACATAACAAGTCTACGTGGCATGGACAATCCCCATGCTCACCAAATCAACAGCATAAACGACAGAGTCTCAACAAGATAATCCAAAATCATAAAATGAAGCTAAAAGCATAAAAGCAGCAAGCATATCCAGCATCCAACATGTAAGCATATAATATCATCAATATCTAACTCAGCTCCGTCCTCCTGCCTCCTGGGGCCTCAACCCCCACATTACCTGGTCCTGAAATAAGCATTCCCCAAACGTGGGGTGAGATCTCTAAACTAGAAATCTCAGTAAGACAAGGGGTCCTCAAGGATCTTCCACCCCAAGCAAACTTACATGTGCAATATAAGTTCTAAAAGAATTCATATCAATATAAGTTCCAAAACTATGCAGTGCAACAGATATTCATGCCATGTGTGTTTAAACTATTCTACTGGCCAGAGAAATGCAGGAATACGTCTATACCTACATGTAGTACAAGGAACACCGCTTGCACCTCACCCACAGCCTCACCATCTTGTATGTACCACATACTCAGGCTTACCGTATAGGTGGAACACCACATGCATATCATAAAGGCACTAGCATATAACAGCTCAACAGCATTTCCAAAACATCAAAAGCATGTAACACAACATGCATATAAACCATACCCTCATGGGACTTGGTGGAACCACAACATGGCTAAACCGAGGACACGAAAGCTTACCTTGCAAGCTCACTATCCAATGCCAAGAGTCCACACAGCTCAAGTCCAACACACAGCAGATCACAATCTGATATAGACCAATAATACGTCATTAATCAAACTCTACAAGCATACACTTAAAGACAACGTCTTTCCTTTACGTTTTACGTCTTAAGGCTTCTAACAAAGCCACAAGCCCTTAATCACATGATTCTGACTTAGTTCATTAATTACAGAAGTTTAACTTCATCAATCAGGGTCCACAAACCCCCATTAGCCTACTGTACACACAGCACAGCTACTGTTCTACGAAAACCCAGAATATCCGGATATTCCTCAGGGACATATCCGGATATCCAATATCCGGATATCCAGATTCCCATATCCGGATATGCATATCCGAATATTTCACGGGCAAATATCCGGATATTTCGCGACAGAATGCAGTTTCTGCATTTCACGAAGATATCCTTCAAAAATCCAACTTTTACCAATTAAATGCGTTCAAGACTCCATTTTTAGGTCTATGCAGGTTCATACACATGTTAGTTACTTGTTTAACCCATTTACATGCAAAGACATCACCTTTAAAGCATAAAAACTCATGATCATGGTAAGGTAACTCACCAAAGGTTCAAAACAGAGGCAAGGGTTGCTCTTGGAGCTCACAACAACTCCAAAGGTTCAGACTTTACCCAAGAACGAAAATGGCAACACAAGCTATGCCCTTTCTTCACAAAGAAGGCTTCTTGCACCTCAAAATTCCAAGACCAAGGCTCCCACAACCCACCAAGTAAGTCAGCCCCCATCAACAACTTAAACAGTTGCAGAACAGTAAGAACACAGCCCACTCCCACTCTCACAAGGATCCTTCTCACAAGCACTAAGTTTTTAGTGAAGAGAAAGTCAAGAAAAGGTCTCAAGGTTGAGCTTTGGTGATGAACAAGGGAGAAGAGCAATGGAACAGTGCAAGAGTGTAAATGGTAAGCCTCCTTTCACGTAGGAGAATCTGATTCTAGGGTTGAGTGCCAAATAAGGCTTATATAGGCGGTTTAACACTTAAACACACAATATTAACTTTAATTGCTATGCTTAGCATTTTAATCCTAAACTCAGGATTCTTAACCTACTCAATTTTACAAGAATTATCATATTTTTCTTATATTTTTCGGAGCACCTTTCCGGTACGCGCTTTTCATAGCCAGTATCAGTTTCTGGCACCAGTTCTCATTATTTGGACTTGAAACTCGTTTTACAAGTCCTATATATTATTCTAGAAATTATCATGCACTTATTATAATTTTCCGGGATACTTTTTCGGTATGCATTTATACTGACTAGCAGAACCGGTATCTGCACTTTTCTTTCGAAAAGCGACTTTCAGCATTCCTAATCACTTATCATAATTATTAAAGCCTCTTAATAATTATTAAGGTCAATTCTGGAATCATTTCCTATTTTAACATAATTTATTTATTTATTTCCTTAATTAACGGTGCGGGTTCTTACACATAGCAGCTTGCATCTCAGCCAATGCAGCTGCAATGGGATTTGAATACCCATTTGTTGTCTCTCGAGCACTCCTAAGGTTAACCATGACTTTGCACATGTTACACAAAGACATGAGTTGATCAGGCCCACGCTTGGCGATCACACATGCATCATCATGGTAGGTTCTAAGAGTAACTCACATAGCATCCTAAAACTCGTAAGGCAACCTTGACTAACAAGGAATCCAAAGTTTATTCAATACATACAGGTTTTTCCCTAGAAATTTTGCTCTGATACCATAAAATGTAACACCCTCGTCTGCAGCCAGTGTGTTAACATACAAATGGTAGTTAAAGCGCAGCTTGCAATAATTAATCGCAGAAGCAACATACTTTTTTGTATAATAAACAAGGCTAATCCTCATGGTGGATTAACTTTTCAATTTAATAACAATCCTTATGTAATTGCAGTGCTAAAATAAAAATTAAAATACCTCGTACTCATAAATAACAATTCAAAAGCATCCATAACTCATGGTGCTATAATACAAATACTCAAGTCAACAAATAAACAGATCATTTAATAGTGGCATAGACAACCCCTATGCTCACATCAAATAACAACATAATCCATCAAGTCTAATCACAATAAAGTCTCATCATGTCAAAATAAATAATCATAATATGCATGGCTCATAGCAATATTGAAATCTCTATGCTGGCCTTTTGCCTTTATCAATGTTCGTCTCACCAACGTCATCTCCTGAAAGGTATGCCAGAAAGGGTAAGATTTCTAACATAAATCTCAGTAAGACAAGGGGTCCTCAAGGAATCATCCACCCCAAGCTCACTTATAGGTATAATATAAGATCTAAAATAGTGCAGACAGTATATAAAGAAACAGACTAATAACAAGATAAAGGGAATGGCTATACCGGGCCATTTATAGCAGTAAACAATGCAATATATAAAATGAGTGCACAATGCACTATCATCATGGTAAAATAATTTGGTCCTTATATAATCATATATCTCAATATATTATGTGATGTATGCAAGTGCGGTTTAACCAGCCAGAGAACAGGATAGGCATTATGCACGTCTACAACCTACCAAAACACGAGGGTCACTACCTGATCGAGTAAGTAATCAACATCACATCCATACATTACATCAACAAGCATATCGACATATATCAGATAAATATCAATCTCCATACACACCAGGGTCGCAGCCTGATCGTGTAAGTAATCAACATCACATCCATACATTACATCAACAACTGTATCCACATATATAAGATAAATATCAATGCATGAATATTTTCAAAAAATCATACCATGCACATCAAACCATCCTCCCATGGAGTTTGGTGGAATAAACAGTAGATAAAACTGAGGACCGAAAGCTTTCCTGTCAAGCTAAATCCTTTACAACCAACTCAGTGTCCAACTATCACCAATATTCACAGTGTACAGCAAGATCTCAATCTATTTTATAACATAAGTGACATTAATAAACATGTCCTATAATTTCATGTCAAACGGATCATTATTTCTTTTTTGTTTAGTGACTGCAGGCTTTTTCCAAAGCCCCTAAGCATAAAACTACGTTTACTATTTTTAAAACTTTAATTGCAACTATTCACCAAAAATTTCAATATTTTTATATGTTAAATAAGACATCCTAATCTTTCCAATGACATATTTTATGTCTCAATTGGAGTTGTATAACTCCGGTTATGTTTTTCGCAAAATGATTGCTGCAAACTGAATTTCTAGAAACCAAGTCGTGACTTCCAAATAACACTACGATCAAACCACTTTTCCAATGACTATGCAATTTTACAGGGTTATAGCCCTATGTGTTAGCTTCACATAGGTTTAAACCTCATTCAATTTGGAGCTTTGTAATGTTGGTTAATTGCACCGTGTGTTGATGATCCTCGTGTGATCACTGTAGGTTACCTCCCACGGAAGTGAACTTGGAGCTTTGAGCTTGGTGGGTTGCTTTTGGTCCTTGACCAAAGAGATTTTGGTAAGTGGTCATGATTATATGCATGAATATTTAATGAGAATGTGTATGCTTTTTGTTGAT